TGAAGAAGAAAATGAATAAATATATTGGGGCAATTTCATGCCAGGGAATACTACACAGCCATGAAAAATGGACTGAACCAGAGGTAGAGATATAAACATGGATGAATCTCACAAATATAATACCAAGGCAAAACACGCAAGTTGCAGAAGAATACAGACAGTATGATAGCATTTAAATAATGATTTAAAACATACAAAACAATATTACATATCGTTTAGAGATGCATATATTTAAAATAAAACTAGAGAAATGCAAGAGAATAAACTCTAAATTCAGACCACTTGTTACTTCTGGAGGGGAGCAGAGGGGGAAATTTCAGTACACAGGCAAAGTGTTATTTCTTAAGCCAGATGGGTGGATGCCCAGGTGTCTGCATGTTACCCTCTACGTCTGAAGGATTCCTTCATATTTTCTAAAAGTCAACATTGCCATCCTCAGACTCCTGTTCCTCTTCCCAGGGGCTGGGATGGGGGGTAGCACTTGCAGCGGGAGAAGTGGGGGTGTGGAGGGACCAGGGCTCCTCAGACCGCTGACGGAGCTGGCCACGATGGAGGCACAGGGCCACAGTCTGCGGGCCAGTGCAGAGCGGGGAGTGCACTCTCCAGTGTGGGTGGAGACCAAACCAGAGGCCCCTGACTCATGGGACACCCCCCACGCCCGCCCTAAAAATACCAGCTCTGGCCTCTGAGTATGACTCCTTGGTGACACGAGTCCCACAGTACCCCCCGCCCGCCCCCGCACACACATCTGCCTAGGCCGGCCGGTTTGTCCACCCCATAGCTGCTCAAGAACACAGTCAATGCTCTCAGGGGAGGTCCTCGGGGAGAGAAGAGTTCAGCCCTGCTGGGGGACAGCCCTCAGACCAAGAGCCCACTGCTCCTCAGGCCAGTCACCAGCTCCTATGGCAAGAGTGATTGTCCTTGGCCAGTCAGAGGGGAAAACATCCAGCACTTCCTGCAACTGGCCGGCCTTGCTGGCTGCCACGGTCTGTCTCTGGGGGGGTGGGGAGCTCTGCTCCCCACAGAAGAGGAGCTTCCCCCTGCTTCCCTCTACCTTCCACCTGCAACTCTCCAGAGGGCCCCAGACACCCTCCTGTCAAAGAGAGATGCGGAAAGGAGGGCAGGCACAGTGGGCAGGCAGGTGCAGCAGCGGCAGGCTGGAAGGTGGGCACAGAAAGGCCTGGCCCGCGGGAGGAGATCAGAAACTGCCAGAGCCAGAGAGAGGGTGGCCCAACCCTGGGCTGCAGAGTTCTTAGAGCTGGAAGAGAACACCGGTCAGACGCCAGCCAATGCAGGCCCTTCATTTTGCAGCTGGATCACCAAAGCCAGCAAAGGGAGAGATCTGCTCAAGGCCGCCTGGGACAGTAGTGACACCAAGGGCAGGCAAACCTGGGTCTCCTGGTGGCCAGGTGCGCACTCTTTTTAACCACACCACACTCCTGCCCTCTCTCTCTCCTTCCCCTTGGATGCACACCCTCCAAGTGGTCAGGTGAGCAATGAGGGGAAAAAGAGGAGGAGAGAAAGGAAGAACCCGTCGGTACCCAGGTGAGGCAGGCCCCCAAAAGCGAGCCATCAGTCACATCACGGGAAGGGGGTGTCTGCAAGCAGAGACCTCCCTGACTCTGGGCGTGGGGGCCAAGCAGGGGCTGGGGAGCTGGAGGCTGCTGAGGGAATTCGGGCCAGAGGTCCTCTGAGCCCTTCCCACATAGAAGCTTCCACTATTCCAAACAGGGACATAAAGATGTCCTAGATAAAGCAAAGGGCGACGCATCCAGAGAGGACACAGCATGGTCCACCACAGCAGAGGGTTAAAGGCAAGTCATCCCAAAGCACGGAACGTCAGAGCATCCTCCTCATCTCCTACTGAAATCCTCTCGATATCCTCGTGAGTGTCATCATTAACAAGATCAGCCACTAGCATTTACTGACCCCTTACCCCGCTCGGCCGGCCGGCACTGAGCGAGTGCCTGACTGTCTCACTGACTCGCACCACGCCAGAAGGCAGCACCAGCACAGACTCTCACAGATGAGGAAGCAGGGGCAGCACCCACCCAGGTGCGCCAAACTCGAAAGCATGCGTTCCCCACAGGGTCTCTCAAAGAGCGCCGGCCAGCAGCAGCAGCATCGCCACCACCCACCGGAGCAGACGCTCAGGGGGGCGCAGCAACCTGTCGAACGATCCCCCAGGTGATCCTGATGCACGCTTCACTTTGCCAACCAAGTGCTCTAAACACTTCCCAGTGCGGCAGGCCAACAAGGAAAAATCGACACTTCTCTGCCTGGTAGAGACGCTTCTCAGATCCTCACCCCAAATCCTCTGCTCAGTCTACTAAGTTCCGGAAGGGGCTGAGGCCCTGCTCTGCATCTCATCATCTTTCTAGGGCCTGCCTTGATGTCACCCCCTCCAGAAGCCCCCTAACTACCTGGCACCCCCAAACTGCTCTGCACTCCAGTCAGATCGACTGCCGGGCACTTGTGGGCACTCAAGGCCTTTCTGATAGTGCTCCCCACACATCCCTCCCCATACCAGTACAAGGTCCTGGAGGGCAGAGCCAGCTCCTCACGCAGCTGCACAGCAGCTGCGCATCACGCCACTCTGGACAGCACCGGGCCGTCAGAAATGTTCGCTGACTATCAGAAGGGGAAAAAAATGCCTCGGGGAGCAAGTTCTGGTTCTCATCCTGACTCTGCCCCTACCTCTCTGGGATAAGCGCCTTCCCATCTCTGGGCCTCAGTTTCCTCACCTGTGAAATGCACCGTTATCTACTTTCTTCTATTATCCATTGAACAAGCCCAGGAGAGCCTGACCCCAGACACCCTTATCCAGTATCAGGGCTGCACAGGCGAAGACTAAGAGCTCTCTCACCCATCTATTCCAGGAAAAGAGACAGACAACAAACAAGTAAACACTAAAAATTACCATATGCCAGACACTAAATTCTATACCTATACTTTCTCATTCGCAAACAAGATTTCAGAGCATGACGAATGTATAAAAAAAGTACAATAGTAATATGACAGAAAGTGAAAAAAGGGGCTACTTTGCATAGAAAGGTCAGGGAAGGCCCCTCCGAGGAGGTGACATTTGAGCTGAGACTTGACTGATAAGGAAGAACCAGCCATGGAAACAGCTGGGGAAAAGTGTTCCAGGCAGAAGGAACAGCACATACAAAGGCGTCAAGGCAAGACCAAGCTTGGCACATTGGAGGGGAAAAAAAGCAAGCTGCCATGGCCAAATCACAGCGAGCGCAGGAGTGAGTAGTACCCAGGGGTACCCAGAGAGGGAGATAGATGGCCGACCTCCTACAATTCGGAGGTGCTCAAATCAGGTCGGCCCGACCCAACCCAGGACATCCGGGCCCCGAGTCACAGGCAGCACTGGGGGTAAGGGTATGAGTCAGACCCCACGGCTTCCTGGGGCCCCAAAGGACCTGGTGTGGGCATAGGGGCAGGTACCAATCCTCAGCATGAGTGCCACGCCATACCCACGGGACACCCGGGGGGGGTAACAGGGTCACATAAGTCGTAGAACACCGGACACTCACAGCTGCAGCCTCCAGAGGGCCATGATCAAGTGCTTCCATGAAGTGCCAGTCTCTGATCCCATTATGTCCCCAGGACACAGCCAGGACAGAAGCCTTGGTCAGTGGAAAGGGAACAGGGCCCAGGCTTACTAGTCTTGGACAAGTCTTCACATTTCTGAGGCTCAGTTTCCTCATCTGAAGCTACTAACAGTGACTATCTCCTGGGGCTGTTGAAAAGGTTAAAGGAGATACTGAAAGTAAAGCACTGTGCCTGGCAAACAGTAAGTGTTCGTAAACGTAAGCTGTTATTATTACTAGTATTGGTTTCTCACTGCCTCACTTGCCTCTGCTATAGAATAAAAATATTAATACATCACAGGATTGCTATGAGTTTGTACTAATAAATACTCCAATATTCATTGTGCAATATTCATTGTCGGGAATAAAAAAAAAATTTGAGAATACCCTTTCCTGACCTCTCATCAGATGCCGAATTCCCCTCGACCATACCCCATTGTTTGGAAAATGAGTAAGTGCTGATTGAATTCCACTTTGACTGTAAAATAAAAATGATGCATTAGGAATCCACAGATTTCCCTGCACTGTCATTCTGCAAGGGGGTGGGGACGGATGTTGCTGATTCTTCTGCATCATCCACAAAAGTCCCCCCCAACCAAAACACAATCTCTCACCTAGTCACACAAAATTCCCACCCACTCCCATACACAATTAGTGAACGTATAATGCAATCGCTTCCATACACACCATTACACACACATGCACACCAATGTTCGACAGTAGAAAATTCACCCATATGTAGAAAGTCCACACCCAAAATCGCTGCCAACAACTCACTACAGCTACCCTGCACACGGCACACAAATGTTGTCTCCAACAGTGTGCAAAATATGGTCAACACAAACAGTATAGCCACATACTGAACTCCGGAGCCAAATGCCAGGGTTCAGCGCCTCGGTTTCCTAAACTGTAAAATGGGGATGATGATAATACCACTACTCCTTTTGAGCATGGGTGTGATAACTAAATGAGTCTAAGACATGTAAAGAGTTTTGATCAACACTTGGAAAGCGCCCAATAAGAGTTATTTTCCTCATCATCGCATGTGCACACTGCTTCCAAAACTGGTCTCGCACACTGTAAACAGACCCATGCCCGCACACTCCTCCGACCCGCTGGGCTGCACGCTATGCACACCGCCTGCACGCCGCTGCTAGACGTGCTCGCTCACGCAGTGCGCACGCGCGCCCACCGCCCTCCGCCCTCCGCGCCTGGCAGGGATTCCCCGCACCGCCCGGCCGCCCGGGGAGGCGCCTCGCGCCCGGGATCTCGAGCGCCGGGACCACCTGCTCGGGCCTGACCTCCCACCCGGCGGCCGGTCACTGCCGAGGCTCTGAAAGGCCCGGTCCCCGACTCCCGTCCTCTCGCTCCATCCCCGCTCCGGCCGGGCCGACTTACCTGAGGGTGGGGGCCCTGGGGGACAGCGCCGCGCTGTCCGCGTCCAGCCCGGGGTCCAGGGACACGGTAGTGGCCCGGGCCAGGCTCTGGCTCGGCGGTGCTCAGCGGCTGGGGCAGGGGGACAGGGTCGAAGACAAGGAAGTGCCAGGGGCCGGGCCGCCCCACCCCTGGGAAAGTCCCCGGTGATTGACAGGCCGCCCGCCCAATCGCGTCGCGCCCTCCCGGCGGTCCCGCGGCCGCCAGGGAGGGACGGAGAGAGGTAAACAGCGGCCGCTGGATGGCCCGGCCCTAGAGCCGGCCCGGTGGCCACGGGGATCTCGTCCCGCAGGCCGCCCCCTCTGCGGCCTTCGCGTCGGCCGGGGACCTCCCCGGGTCCGGGCAGCCCCGCGCCGGAAGCCCCAGGCCTCGGAATGAGGCTGGGGCCACCCCGACAGCCGGAATTTCAGAGCGGGGACGAGCCGCAGAGACCACCCCACCCCTTCCGAGCGCGGAGGGGCACACAGGCCGAGCGGGGAGGGACTTGCCAGCAGGCACGTAAGCGTTTGGAGCAGAGCCAGAGCTCCGGCTCGGCGCCCCAGAGTTCCGTCCAGGGCTTTCCTGGACTTCTGAGCAGAGCTCGTAGAAATTCCGAGCCGAAAGGACCCTTAAAGAAGCTTATCGTTACGGCTGATTTCTTTTTGCTTACGTACAGCCCCAGCCATTGCAAGCACTTTGCACGCATCACTTTAATTCGCGCAGCCACCCTAATGAGATGAGTTTATCCCCCTTTTTACCACAAGGAAATTAATATACGCGGCACAGAGAGGTTAGATGACCTCAGTAAGTGGCCCAGTCAAGATTCAAAGCCACGTAGGCAAATCCTGGCCTGCCTCCTACCCTGCCTCCTTGTATGTGGGCCAGATGGTCCAAACAGGCAGCTTCCCAGACCCGCAAGGAGCAGGAACTTGGTTTAAAGTTGGGAACACTTTTTTTTTTTCCTTTTTAAGCCCATCATTTTATTTAAAAGAGGGTAAGTTTTAATTTCAAAAAGTGGAAGGGCCTAACCTTGAAATAAAAGACAGCGCTTTAAATTGGGTAAATACAGCTTTATGAAAAACCTTTTGCAAAAGCCTCATTTCCCAGGAACTGATGAAAACTTCGTCGTTGACAGGCCCTCTTCCTCGGAAAGGATTTGGGGAGCTATTTCATACAGGCCCTCATTTTACAGGAGAGATCCGTCAATCAACTGTGACTGTGTGTGAAAACACACAACACACACACACACACACACACACACACACACACACACGCCTGCCCAACTATATGCCTAGTCCAAGGATTCTCCTTTCAGGCTTTGTGACATCCTGGGATGCCTTCAATTACTACAAACGTGTTACCAAATTCTCAAAAGAATATTAATTCTAGCTCATTTGAATTATGAAAATAAGTACACATATACCCTGATTTTGAAGAGACGGAGGGAGACAGGGCTGCAAACACCAAACAAATTACCACTGAGTGTTACCAACGGGGCAGGGTACAGGGAGATTAGAATCTTGGCCCTGTTTATTCAGCAGCTCTGAGGCATCACCTCTACACAGTAGGTCCCCCCAAACCGGTTTTCTTCCTGTTCTTCCTCTGTACTTCCCAATTTGCCTCTTCCTAGAATGTCCTCTTCATAATCCCAACCCAAGTCTTCTCATGAACACTGAAATTTACTTTAAAAAATGAGTTGTCTCCAGATGTTTGCATTTTGTTTCCAAACTTTGTCAACTGTTTTTATAAAATGTCTGTGCCTTAGAGAGCTAGGCAAATAGTTCCATTCTCCAAAGTGCCAGATGACTCCTAGGTAGGCTTGTTGGACAATGCTCTAGTATGACATAAAAAGGTCACACAGTCATCTTTTTGCCTGCTTTCTTACTTTTGGATAACTTTTCTTAATAATTACAATGCGTGAGAAAACACATCTCTTCGAAGCCGTGACTGTGCCCACCCCTTCCGTCCTTTTAAGTCTTAGTTTGACTTAGAACATCCTACTGTGTTAGAGGCCACAGAGACCATTGATAACAATCCCCTATGTAAACTGAGGCCTCAGTGTAGCAACCGACTTGTTCAATACCACACACACTGGCTGGTACAACCAGGGTTGGAACCCAGGACCTTGGCTGCCAGTCATATGTGCTCTTTCCACTGCACCATGTTGTCTTTACAATGTCATGATTTTTCTTACTTTCTCACAGAAACTCAACACTCATTATGAGCAGAGGTTATGGAGCTAACTGATGGGGTTCTGATACCTTCTCAACCACTTACTACCTAGGTGGCTTCTCTAAGCCTCACTTCCTCTCTGAAAAATGGAGATAATAATTGTACCTACCCCTCAGGTGATCGTGAGAGTAAAGGAGAAAATGCAAGTAAAGCTCAAAGCTTGGCACACAGTAGCATTCAAGAAATGACAGTAGTATCATTAGTAGATGTGGATTACATGCATTGGGCAGAACTTCACTTTTAAACCCAGAAATGCAACCTCCCAGGTTCCATCCCACCGTCCACATCCTCTATGGAACCCTAGACTCTGGGGGCCTGGCAGGGTGGGAAACAGGCCCCCAGCCGGGCATCCCCTGCCATCCCCAGATCTGGAAGGAGATTCACAAGCTAGGAAGCTGGGCCCGACGCTGAGAGCTGAGGGACTCAGGCAGCTGGGGACCTCTTGCTCTTCCAGATTGGTGACAAGCACCGAGCAAGGCCCCACCAGGGAGGAGAATCAAAAGGCCTGTGTTTTGTTTTATTTTGTTTTGTTTTCAAGCACGCAACTTTGCTCCCTACTCCCTCCCCCTCTACCATGTCCACCAAGGCTGCTCCAGAGTCAGACCTAAATCCACATTTCAGGGAAATAAAAAAGACACCAAAAAACCCACCTATAACTGAATGAGCTCTAAATCAAGTGCCTAAAGAGGAGTGGAGGCTGCATATTAAAAACATTAAAAGGTAACATTTATGGAGTATTTGCTGTGTGCCAGGCCTGACTTTTACATAACATATCTCCCAACCACCCTCTGAGGTCAGTACCACTATCATCCCCATTTCACAGATGGAACTGGGGCTTTGAGGGGTTTGATCATTTGCACAAGGTCTTATTCAGCAGCAGGTAAGGGGAGGATGAAGACCCAGGCTCTGAAACTCTGAATGCTCTTAAGCATTACGCTATGGAGTCTTGCCAGCTAGCAAGACGTAGAACTCAAAATACCAGTCCCTAAAAGTCATTAGAAAGGATCAAACCCAGGCTTTTCCTCGTAGAGATGAAGCCACTGAGGGCCAGAGAGGGCCAGGGGCTTGCCAGAGGGAGGTCTTAAAGCGAGTCTGCAAGTAGCACTCGGGACTAGAACCCAGAGCACTATTTCCACAGCCGGCACTGGTGGGCAATGGAGATCCTAAAGCGAGCAAGCACGTGCCTCTCTCCATCAGCTGAATTAGGGAGTCAGGGCCTTGGCTGGGGGTAAATGAAACTCAGGGGGAGCAGCTCCTGGATTAGGAAAAGAGCAATCCTGGGCCTGGGTCCCTTCCTTAGATCTGGTCGCCCGTCTCCATAGCCTGAGGCAATCTCGGGAATGTAAAACCCTACAACCCTATGGTGGATTCTAGGTGGTTTTCAGTGTTGGGTGTGTGTGTTTATGAGAGCGAGATTTCCGTGATAGTTAAATGAGAATTGCGTGTCAAGCACATGATGTTGACTGAAATTGTACTAGGTAATCATATTTTTTGGTAAGGAGTAAATAAGTGAAGAGTTTACAGTCCCCGCTCCCCACCCCCAGCCAGAGAAGGTATTTTTAATTCTCCCTACCTCCCTCCCAAATAAATGCAGGAGGGAAGGCTACGAGGGCAGTAAGATATCCATAACCTTTCACATCCATCTGGCACCTTCAGGTGAATTAGACCATATAATACCCACCATTTGCCCCTCCTCCAAGAGGCCTGTTGGGTAAGGGTTAGGGCGTGGGCTCGAGTCAGACCTGGGCAGATCACAGCCCAGCCACTTATACCTCGTGATGGCTCTCTGCCTGTTTCCTCCTCAGTAACATGAAGGCCAGAACAGTGCCCAATGCACAGAGTAGAGAGAACGAAATGCCACAGTGCCTGGCATCATTGAAAGGCAACAATGATAATTTTGATCACCAGCCCCGTAGGGTGGGCAGGGTTGTTTATCTCCTCTTTCCAGCGAGGCCCCCAGGGCTCGGAGCTGTGGAGGAACTTGCCCTAGACCTCACAAAGTGTTCTCAGAGGCACCGGGCCTAGAAGGCATTCCTCCTACTTGTTCTCTAGGGTCTTTCCTGGATTCCTCTCTCTCTCCATCCCAAATGTTTCCCCTGCGTTCCTGGGCCTGCCTGTTACTCTAGGGTTTCTAGGGCACCGCTGGAGGAGAGGAAAGGGCACAGTGACACTTGGGGAAATTCCCGGCCTCCAGCATACGCAGCCTAGCCAGGCCCCTCCCACAGCTCCTAGGAGCCCCAGGCCTCCCTGTCTCCAGGTCAGGGTGTCAAGCCAGATATGGGTTTGGGTCCAAACTTGCTGCTTGTCATTCTCCTGAAAGAGGGAAGAGGTCTGCCAGGCCGGGCCCAGCCCTTGAAGGAGGCAGACCCATGGGAACCAGAGCATTTCCTAATCCTGGGAAGCCCTGACAGAGCCCTGAGAGCACTCCTCCATCAGCCTCACCCCACGTCCTCTCTCAGGCTCCCTCTTCTAGGGCCCCTCCCGCGTCTCCTTCCATTATTCTCCAGCCCAGAAGCCACTATGACAGTGACTTGGCCTCCACTCCTTGCCCATCCTAGCCAGGGACTTCCCTGGGCTGGGCCTCTGACCAGCTTTGGAAAATGTGGACTGTTTGTGATCAAAGAGGTGGCCGCATCAGCACCATCTGCCAGCCCTTCACCCACTCCTAGTGCCTCGGGCTCTCCGTTAAAGAAAGGTCCAGCAGCCCTGGGAGTCAAGCAGGTGGGAGAGTGCTCCAGAAATCCATTTGCTCCAGTGCTAAGGAGGGTCCCACCTTCCATCCTGTTCCCAAGGGAGGCTGGGGGAGACTCCCACCTGGTCTCTTCCTGTCTAGCTTTAGATGGCTAAAGGGCCCAACACACACCCACACACTCAGCCTCAAAAACTCACACACATTCACATCATGACCCAGACACTCACAGACACCCACAGACACACTCACATAAACACGCTCGCAAACCTTGGCTCACACGGACAGACACACATACACCTCCGTAGGTCTGACACACGTTCACAAACACGGACACTTGTTCTCACACACAGAAACACATCCGCATTCACGCTGGCAAACCTACTCCCTTTTCTTGGGGGAAGGATAAGACAAAAATAGACCTTTCTTTTCTTACCCTTTGGAAAAACTAGAGGCGACTAGAG